CCTCCCCTCCCTCTCCTCCTCTCCCTCTCTTTCTCTCTTTCTCTCTTTCTTTCTTTTTTCTAGTACTGGAATTGAGCCCAGGCCTTCACACTGAGCTATACCCCAGCCCTTTTTTATTTTAGGCAGGGTCTTGGCTGTTGCTAAGTTGCCCAAGCTGAGCTCAAACTTGGTATCCTCCTGCCTCATCCTCCCAGAGTCCTGGAATTACAGGTTCGCACCTCCACACCTGGCTCCTCCCAGGCGTTTCTGACTACAGGCATCTCTGGGTGTCCAGGAGACCGATGCTGAAACTTGGGGTGCCAAGTGAACTCTGCCCCGCAGATGGAGGGGGTCTATGACATGCCAGGTGACCGAAATCCAGCACAGGAGCCAGGGTCCTAGGCCTGAGAAGGCGTCGGCCGCTCCGTGGGCAGCTCCTGAGTGACCATCTTCAATCTTGGGCCTTGAAGTGGGGAAGGTGGAGGCTGAGGCCTGAGGCGGGTGACAGCCACATGCCCCAATCTGGAGGGTGAGGCTAGGGCCTGCCTGCTCCCGGCCACCCAGGTGCCCGGCCCTCCACGCCCTCTGGGCCCATCCTGGGGCCACCTGGGTCTCTCTGCTTCCCCTTGTCCTGAGAAGGCCTGGCCACAGCTGTCCAGCCTCTCACCAGCCCCACACACCACATCTGTGTGTCATGGCCGAGCTGCCACACCGGGAACCTTGTCTGCCATCCCTCCCTGCGGGTCTGTGTGTGGTGCTCCCCTACTGCCCTGGACCCTGCCTACGGCTGCACTAGGTCCACGGGGACTCCTCTTTGGGGTCTTTTAGGGCCTTCTGAGAAGTCACACCAGCAAGAAAGCTCTACCTAGTCCTGCTAAAAACACAAACACTAGAGACTGATGTGTTTGTCACCCGTGTGTGATGTGACCAGGAAAAAATGCCAGGAACAAACCCCTGAGAACTCCAGACAAAGTAAGAGCACCCTTTGGGGGTTAAGAAATATCCTATAAAGCACGTGACTGTCTTCTCCTCCTTCTCCTCCTCCTTCTGGTCAAACCCAGATCCTCACACTGAGCCACATCCCCAGCCCATTTTATTTTGAGACAGCATTTCGATAAGTCACTAAATTGCCCAGGCTGGGCTGGAACTTGCAATCCTCCTGCCTCAGCCTGGCCTTGTTCCTGGAACTTGGGGACCCGTGTCCTAAGGGCATCACTCTGGGCTGGGAGTCAGAGAGTGACGTCCCAGGTCCCCACATATCACTGCGGCCCCAGTGTCTGCATCTGTGGGGCCAATGCTGGGGGAACCGAGAGGAGGTCACTGGTCCCAGGCCCATGGCTTCTCAACAGGAGGGCCAAGGGACCACTGGGCCAACGCCCCCTGGAAGCTATAGGGCCTCAAGAGCAGCAGCCTCCTTTCTCTGCTTAACCCCTTCGGCTTCACCATTTAGAAACCATTCCTTCATCCTACAGATGTGGTCCTTGTGTACACAGTGTACCACAGTTAGAGCTCATATGCCAACTGCTATTGTTCCAGCAACAGAACCCCTTTTATGGCTTTTATTTCTTTTGGGAGGATGATTGAGACAGGGTCTCATTATGTAGCCCAAGCTGGCCTCAAATTCATGGTGATCCTCCTGCCTCAGCCTCCTGAGTGCTGGGATTACAGGTGTGCACCACCACATCTGACTTCGGGTTTTTTTTCAGCACTGGGGATCTAACCCAAGGGTCACTCTAACAGTGAGCTACATCTCTGGCTCTTCAGTTTTTACGGATATTTCTCGGTTAACAGCCCATCCGTTAAATACCGGTTCAGGACTTACGACCCTTTTTTTTTTGTACAGTTCTGTACATCTTCTTTATAGACTCTCAATGTCTTTTTTTGCATGGTCACTTTGTTTATACAGAGCTGTAATTCTTGCTGATTGTACTATACAGTACAGTACTGCAGTGTTCCAGAAATCTTGGAAAGAAATACACGGAAACACAATTCAGGTAAAATAATAAAATTTCTACTGGAGAGCGGGTGGGACTGCCAGAAACTGGTCTGGTTAGTATCCGAGCCCCTTTGTTCAGCGGTTCTCTTTTTATATCCTTTTTAGCCATTATCTCATCCCTAGTAGTCTTTGATGTGTAAATACAATTCCAGTTCCTATTTACAAGTCACTGACACAAGATAGGCACATACACATTGTAAATTCACCCTGGCATTGCAACTTTGTTAGGTTAATGAAGTTACTGGTTAAAGAGTCAGATTACCTTCACCTTAAACCAGGAGAGTTATGGGAAAAGCAAATCTTTTTTTTTTTTTTTTTTTTTTGGTACCAGAGATTGAACTCAGGTTCTTGAGCTTACAAGGCAAGCGATGGAACCACTGAGCTAAATCCCCGGCCCTTGGAAAAGCAAATTTTAAAAGAACACATTACTTATTTTGCTTCCACAACTACCTTAATATTCAATCTATTAAGTTATCAAAAACTTTTCCCTGTCAGTAGCTGTATGTTCTGTTTTACGTCACAGTACTGCATGAAGGAGCTAGGCAAATAAAGTCAGTCATCAAGTTGGAGTTTCCTTTGACCATTTCTTTGTTCTGAGTATTGTAATGCACGTACTACACACAATTCCTCATGTAGTGACCAATTTATTCAATGACCAAGTCAAGGGAACAGAACTCAGTTGTTCAAGGACTGTCTGTATTTTGAGACAGGGTCTTGCTAAATTGCAGAGATGGAGCTTGGACTTGTGATCTTCCAGCCTCAGCCTCCCTGAGTGCACCATCATGCCTGGCTGCAACATTTTTATTTTATTTTAATTACTTGATTTTATTTTTTATTTGTTGTGGTGCTGGAGATCAAACCCAGGGCCATGAGCCTGCTAGGCAAGCGCTCCACTACTGAGCTACATCCCCATTTATTTATTTATTTTTGTACCGGGGATCAAACTCCGGTCCTTGTGCTTCCCATTCATTTATTTCTTGAGAGAGGGCCTCAGTATATTGCCCAAGCTGGCCTCCAACTCCTGGGCTCAAATGATAATCCTGCCCCAGCCTCCAGAATTGCTAGGATTACAGGTGCTGCCTGCCATGCCTACCTTTTATGGCTTGGAAATTCTTTCTGCCTGGTGCACGACCACAAAACTGCTCTGAAGCAGCCTCTGGGGGTCAGAGCTCTGGTGGAGGTTGGCTTTGGGCCACATCTGTTTCTGGATTGGGGTTCCAGGCAGCTTCCTGGAGGAAGTAACAGTGGGGTGCCTTGAAGGACAAGTGCCAGGCAGAGTGGGTTGGCAGGAAGGACCTGGCAGAGCTTGGGGGCCAGGGCCCCGGGAGCAGATGCTGACTTGGAGTAGGGGCAGCAGGTCCTGCTTTGGCAGGGCTTCCACACTGTTCTGTAAACTGGACTTCTCTGTAAGGGCAGTAGGGAGCTACAGAGGGTTCTAGGCAGGGGAGGGACATGAACTGAGACCTGAAGCCTGAGGCCCTGGCCATGCAGGGAGCATGTGGTGACACCATGGTCATAGCGGGGTCCAGCCCGTGCTGGGACAGCAGCCCCGGGCCTGGCAGCTATGGGCTGAGGAGGTAGCCCCCAGGCCGGGACTCCTAGGTTTGAGTGCACTTCTCCTCCTGGCCTGCTGCCTGCTGTTGGACCTCAGCTGCCTGCCTGTGAAAGCTCCTGGTGGCCCTAGGGGCAGGGGGGCAGGTGGGAATTAGCCCAGCCTGGCAAGGCTGGGCACAAGAATGCATTGCTTTCCCATGTGGCCACCTTCAGGGGACCCACGGTGTCTACATGCTCTCAAGGGACCTGTGTGAGAGGGACACTGTGGCAGCATCCCAGGGGCCCAAAGGTAGGGTGTCGGGGACAGGGACGCCATGATGCCCCTGCCTGCCAGTGCCCCTGCACTTCCGGGAAACAGTGCTGAGAGAGAAGGCCAGTCTTGGGAGCCACTGACCTGGAGCCCCATGACCTGTAGGAGGGATGTGCGGTCCAACCTCAGTTTCCCTGTCTGTCAAATGGGAATAACAAGGGCCAGGGATTTAGCTCAGTGGTGCCACCGCCTGCCTCGCAAGTGCAAGGTCCTAAATTCAATCCCCAGTACCAAAAAAAAAAAAGTGGGACTAATGAGCCAGGTATGGTGGTGCAGGTCTGCAATCTCAGCACGCCAGGAGGCTGAGGCAGGAGGAAGGTAAGTTCAAGTCCATCCTGGACAACTCAGTGAGACCCTGTCTCAGAATAAAAAATTTCAAAAGGCTAGGGATGTGGCTCAGTGCAAAGGGGGCAGAAAGTCAAGATGGAAATTTTTATATTACATACAAAAAAGAAAAAGACAAAAAGATTTAGCAAGGTAGGGTGGGGCGAAGTGAACTATGGGGACCTTTGGCGGGAGGCAAGGGTCTGTGACTGTCACTGTGTCTGGCCCTGTTCTCCTCTGCACAGCCTCCTCTGTGTACAACGCATGGCTGCTCTTTGCCTCAGTTTCTCCATCAGGCCAAGCTGCTCCCCTCTTCTGTCCAGGCTCCACTCATCCTGCCAGGTCCCAGGCCGGGGCCCTACAGCCCTGAGGGTGCCCGGCCCTGTGTGCTCCTGCCCTGTATCCGCCTCTGACAGGGGACTCCCAGAGATTCCCCATGTGCCGGGTCACACTGCGACCTCCCGGGTGCGGGACGCAGTCAGCGCCGGCCAAGGGACGAAGCCGGCTGCCCAGGCTGCACCGGGGCCAGCGGCTGGACGGGGCTGGGAGAGGGCTCTGGTGTCCGGCAGCCACCAGCCTGGCCCGGTGGGACCCGCCTTCCTCTGGTGTCACACCCACAGGGCTAACATCCTCAGCCAGATGCCAGGCCCCCAGGGTCCCAGATTCCGTCCATCAGCACCCGGCCTGGTATCGCCTTTCCACCTCTGGCCGTGCCTCAGGCTCAGCCAGATGCGGTATCGCCTTTCCACCCCTGGCCGTGCCTCAGGCTCAGCCAGATGCGGTACAAAGCTGCCTGCACCCGGGGGAGAGCAAATGTGGCCTGCAGCTGTGGACTGGGCCACACACATGCGCACAGACACGCAGCTGTAGAAACACACAGACATACACAGAGAAACAGACTAGTTAACAAAACTAGTTACCCACAACTAGTTGGCTAAAATTAGTTAACCAACACTAGCCACCCATAACTAGCTAACACAAGAGTAGCTAACAAGTACTAGTTACCCACAACTAGTTGACAAGTACTAGTTAGTGACAAACCAGCTGATGGTACCTAGTCCTTCACAACTGGTTAAGCTATGTTAATAACTACAACCAGCTGGTGACAACTGGTTGAAGACAACTAGTTCTACTTAATTAGTGAATGCTAGTTCTCCACAACTAGTTAACTGCAGCTAGTTAACGAATACTTGTTGGCCAACCAGGCAACTAGTTCTGCACAACTAGTTAATAATAGTAGACACCGAGTTAATCAACAATGGTTAAACCATGCTAATGATAACTAGTTCTCTACAACTAGTTAAGGAATCTCCTTCAAGTAATTGGTTAATGCCAACTGGTTACCAATGACTCGTTATCAGACACAGACACAGAAACTGTTACAGCTGTGCTGAGGTGGCCCCCAGAGCCGCACGCAGTCACAGGTGGGGCTTTTCAGGTGAGGCCAGACGCCCAGTGTGTGGTGATGGGATCCAGGGTGTGGCTACTAAATCAGTCCGCTGATTGGCGTGGCACCGCCCCACCCCGGAAGCCGAGATAGAATATAACGGGGCAGGAAGAAGCTGCTGAGGGCTCTCGATTGCTTTTGCTGTCTTCTGCCCCGCCCCTTAACTGTTCCCCTCTGCGATGCCACTTGCCCCGGACCCAGCCGACTGTGGACAGAAGCCTTGCAAACTGTGAGCTGAATAAACCTTTCCCCCTTTAACTTTGGCTGTCGGGTATTTGTCTCAGCAGCGAGAGAAAAATACTTAAGAAACAGAGACAGAAACACAGAGATGCACACACACACACACACACACACACGCACGCACGCACGCACGCACGCACGCACGCACGCACACAGCATTCCCAGATGGTCCCGTTCAGCGGGAACGCCTGACTTCCTGTTTTCCCGGACTGCCTTACTTCCTCTTCTGTCTTCTGTCAGCAATTCTACACCATGGCTTCCTCCCCATAAACTCAATGCCTGCGGGTCACTGAACGCGAGGCGTCCGGAGCACTTCTGAGTTGGATCAGAGTCCAGTCAGGGGCTGGGCCCAAGGTTTGGGCTCCAGTTTTGGGGACACCACTCAGGCACAGCACTGCTGGAGTGGGGAGTGAACGCTAATGTAAGCTTTAGTTTATAACGTATCAGTATGTATTCATGAATTTTTATTTATTTATGTATCTTTGCAGTACTGGGCATTTAACTCAGTATCTTCCCACTGGAGCTACATCCCCAGTCCTTTTAAAAAATTTTTTACTTTGAGACAGAGTCTTGCTAAATCGCTAAATTGCCCAAACTGGGCTCGAACTTGGGATCCTCCTGTCTCAGCCTCCCGGAATGCTGGGATCACAGGCGTGTGCCACCCAGTCTGGCCTGGTTCATTCATTTTAACAAATGTACCACAGTGGGTCGGGGATTTAGCTCAGTGGTTCCGCTGCCTGCCTTGCAAGCACAAGGACCCAAGTTCGATCCCCGGTACCAAAGAACAATCAAACAAATGTACCACAGTAAGGCAAAACTTTCATAATAGGGGACAACTATTATGGGGGGCTACATGGGAGCTGTCTGCACTGTCTGGTCAGTATTTTGTGGATCTGAAGCTAATAGTCAATTTTAAAAATGATTGAAAATATTTGCACTTACAGGAAGTGTGATAGAGTGGGGACAAATCTGCAGGCAGCAGAGACCCCTGGTGGGCTGTCTCGGCTTCTCGAGGTGGCCCTGGGGAGGCCCTCTGCGCCCACCCACCTCGCCTGGCGTTCTTTGTCTTTAAACCAGGACATCCCCAAGATCATCTCTAAACATCCTCCTCTGGCTTCTGCGAATTGTTCCAGCTTGATTATAACACCGTCTCAGAAGGAGAAATGAAAGACAGTCTGCGTTTCTCAGGAAAACGATCAATGAAGGAAAACGATCAATGAATCAAATTTTGTGGTTTCATTACTGGAAACCCCGTAGTATAGAAAATGTAAAAAAAAAAAAAAAAAAAAAAAAATCCCGTCCTTGATCAAGTTGACCGGCTAATTAACAAGACTTCCAAATACCATGCGGGCGGCGACAGCAACCCAAACATTCAACCGTCCTTGGTCCCGCTAGCGGGCGGGGGTTTTCTTCTCTTCCAGGCCCGGCCTAGAAACTCATATTTTATTCATGAAAATCTAGGCCCTGGGAGGCCTCGGCATAAACAGGATGTAAATATTTGCGGGCAGTGGGGAGCGGTGGTGTTTGAGAAGGGGCTGTCCGGAGCGGGACATCCAGGACAAAGCTCACTGGGGGCCCGCCCACCTCCATCACTACGCTGGGGGCCTGGTGGGCAGGGGCCGGGGAGAGCCCGGCTGGGACTCCGGGGTCCTTGAATTGAGTCAGGAAATGTCTCTTAACTGTCCACGAATTTCATTCCCCAGGTCCCTTCGTTCCCATCTCCCCAGATTCAAACCTGGGACTGGTTTTCTGAGAGGCTGAGGCAGGAGGGTCTCGAGTTTGAAGCAAGCATGGACAACTTGGTGAGACCCTGCCTTGAAATAAAATATGAAAAGGGTTAGGGATGGAGCTCAGTGCAAAAGCCCTGGGTTCAATCCCCAGTAGCAGCGGGGAGAAAAGTGTCTTTGATTCTTCTTTGGACCCTCACCTACTTTTGTGGCCCTGGGCATCACCTTTCCCGGGTCCTCTCTGCCTCCTTGGCTCAGCCTGGACTGGCCTTGCCCTGTGTGTACAGTGGTCTCGTTCCCCTCCACGTCTTCCTCCTGGACTTCCCTCATTCCGGAACCCAGGGCAGCTCCACCGCCTGAGCCTGGCCTGGGATTCAAGAAGCTGTCCCCTCCCCCACCCAGAGCCTAGACTTTCCAGTTTTAACAATGTTCCATCCTCCTGCCTCAGCCTCTCAGGGTGCTGACATTATAGGCACTCACTGACCATTCCCAGACTAATTTTTTTTTTTTTGTTTTTACACCTTGAGATGGGGTCTCACTAAATCATGAAGTCTCCCAGGCAGGTTTGAATTTGCGACCCTCCTGACTCAGCCTCCCAGAGTGGTGGGACTACAGGTCAGTGAGTCAGGCTTGTTTGTGCCTTGATCCTGTCTCACTCTGCAAGCTCAGGCCCGAGAACTCCACTCCTCGCCTAACAGAGCACCTGGGGCGTAGCTAACTGCAGTCTGGATGAGCTCTTGAAGCCAGCTAGGATAGTCAAAGTGGCGCCCAGCGCTCACTGTCTGGATGGAGGAAAAAATTCCCACCCGGGATGCAGCCTTCCAGGAATTGAGGCCCTCAAGCCTGAGCAGCAGTAGGAGAGGTCGGGGATTTAGGAGAATGTAAAGTACACACACATTGGAGCACTAGAGCCGAGCTGCGGGCCGGGACCCGTGAACTGTGACCACCCTGCTCCGTAGCAGGGATCGGGAAGCTGTGGGCATGGCTCCCGCTGAGAGCTGAGGCTGCTGCTGGGCCTTAGTCACCCAGCACAGTCAATCTTCGTGGACAGGAGAGTTCCTCAGTAAGAACTTCTTAGCTTGCTGGGAGTGCTGGCTCAGGACTGGGAGCTCAGCAATTGGGAGGCGGAGGCGGGAGGATCGCCAGGAGTTCAGGGCCAGCCTGAGCTACACAGCTCAAGTACACCTGATCTACATAGCGAGACTCAGTCTAAATAAATAAATAAGTACATATCTGCTGGGTGTGGTGGCTCAGCCCTATAATCTCAGCTACTTAGGAGGCTGAGGCAGAAGGATTGCAATTTTTAGTCCCACCTGGGCACTGGAACAAGTCTCTTTAAAATTTTTTTTTTTTTTTCTTTTGGTACCGGGGATTGAACTCAGGACCTTGCGCTTGAGAGGCAGGCGCCGGAACCACTGAGCTAAATCCCCGGCCCAAGTCTCTTTATATTTTGAGATAGAGTTTAATCTGCTCAGGCTGGCCTTGAACTTGCAAACCTCCTGGCTCAGCCTCTCAAGTAGCTGGGATATCAGGTTTGTGTTGCTACAATCAGCAGCGTTTCAAACCTTAATTTGTCAAATATATAAAGATTATGTGTGTGCCATAAAAATAATACAGGGGCTATGGTGTGCTAGAGCATTAGCCTAGCGTGCATGAGGCCCTGGGTGCAATCCCCAGCAATGCACCCCCCCAAAAACACCTACTAACCACAAAAGTTGGATTGAATTCATTCTGTTTGGTGGTTTTTTTGTTTTTGTTTTGAGGCAAGGTCTCATTCTGTAGCCCAGGCTGGCCTCGAACTCACAATGATCCTCCTCCTTTGCCTCCTGAGTGCTGGGATTGCCACCACGCCTGGCCCATCATATCTAAACTTCTAAAAGTGCCTGATTATTCATTTACCAACAAACATTTGTCAAAGTCTGCCAAGAGCTAAGCACTGTAAAGGCCCTGCAACTAGGCAACACAACTAAACACAACTAAAGACACCCAGAAGAGGGCACTTCCAGAACTGCTTCCAAAAATGACAAGCATGGGCCGGGGATGTAGCTCAGAGGCACCACACCTGTCTGGTAACTGCAAGGTTCTGAGTTCAAGTCCCTGTACTGGGGGAAAAAAAAAGCCAGCCTCATGCACAAAAACAAAAATAACAAGGATGATAGGGTGAGTGTGCGCCAAGTGAGGGAGGGATTTGATGGGGCTTCATGGCAATGTGTCTTTTACTGTCATAATTTTAAAATGTAAGCACTCACTATACTTTTTGTTTTGTTTTTGGTACTGGAGATCGAACTCGGGTCCTTGTGCTTGCGCAGCAGGCGGCGAAACCACTGAGCTAAATCCCTGGCCCTCACTATACTTTTTGACTACCCCTTGTCTATCCTAATATGTCACACAGACACACACACACACACACATGCATGCACAAAGGCCCTGGGGCAGGCAATGATCTGGCTGCAGGTATGGAGTGCAGATGGTGAGGGTGCTGGGAAGGAGGCCTGGAGGTGCCCTGTGGACAGACCCCTGGGCTGTGTAGGGCTTGGGCACTTATTCTACCTTGACCCTGGAGTTTTCTTCTATGATTTGTCCTAAGTCCTTCTCTAGAAAGTCATTGTAAACCAGACATGATGGTGCACACCTATAATCCCAGCAGCAGGGAGGCTGAGGCAGGAGGATTGCCATGAGTTCAAGGCCATCCTTGCCTACATAGCAAGCCCTGTCTCAAGAAAGAAAGAAGGAAGGAAGGAAAGAAAGAAAGAAAGAAAGTCATTGTAAGATCCTTAGGAAGTTGAAGACATCCAGCTTAAATCTCTTAGCGTAATCATGTGCCTATAATCCTGGCTACTCCAGAGGCTGAGGCAGGAGGATTGCTTAAACCCAGGAGTTCAAGACCATCCTGGGCACAAAGGCAGACCCTGTCTCAAAAAAGAAAATATGGCAAAGCAAACATGAACCCTTCCCATGTATTTCCTGTGCTCCCCTTACTTCCCTCTGGGTCACTTGCTCCGAGGGAGGCACAGTGATCTAACACACAAACTGGGTCACTGCTCTGCCTTCCGCCCTCCCGGGCTCCCCGCTGCTCTTAATAGGCCACCGTGTCCTGCACGACCAGGTCCCACGGGCCTCGGCTGTCCACCCCCTCCCCCAGTCCCAGTTGATTCAGCCACTGAGTGCTCCAGCTTGGCTGTCCCTGATTGAGTCATTCATCATTCATTCAGCCCACCAGGAATTATGTTGTTTGTTTTGGTACCGGGGATCAAACTCAAGCAGGCAGCAGAACCACTGAGCTAAATCCCTGGCCCAAGAATTATGTTTTTGTTTGTTCATTTGCTTGAGACAGGGGTCTCACTATGTAACCCAGGCTGGCCTTGAACTCACAGAGATCCTCCTGCCTCAGCCTCCTGATTGCTGGGATTACAGGCATGTGCCACCACACCTGGCCCCTTTAGGAAATATGGAGCCGCTGGCTCTGGGTCTACCACCCAGATACAATGGGGAACGGACAGAGAAAGTGCTGTTTTCACAGAATTGTCACGGGGATGGGGCAACAGAAAAGAAGGTAATAAATTCAGATAATTCTGAATTGTGGGTCAGTACAAGAAGAAAAGAAACAAGTGGTGGGAAAGAGCATGGGAGACAGACCAAGGTGCTAAGTCCTCCTTTCAGGCAAAACTAACAGCCCTTCAAGACCCAGGCTCCCTTTGCCATCCCTTTTTAACATTTTATACTTTGAAACAGGGTCTCACTAAATTAATTGCCTGGGCTAGGCTTCAAGTTTCAATCCTGCCTCAGCCTCCGAGTGCTGGGATTACAGGCATGCCCCACCATTCCCAGCACCGTAATTACAATTATACCTCTGACTGCTGCTTGGCCTGGCTGTTCCCTCCCTCAAGGCAAAAGAGACTGGGCATGGGGTCAATATGCTAAAAGCAGAAGCAAGATTTGGGCTGGGTTTTTTTTGGTACCAGGGATTGAACTCTGTTCCTTACACTTGCGAGGCAGGCAGCAGAACCACTGAGCTAAATCCCTGGCCTAGGCTGATTTCTAACCAGCTTCCGGTTCCATAATTCCAATCAGAGCAATGCTAGGGGATGAATTTCACCCAGAGAGAAACCCTTGTGCTGCTAATGTAGGAAATATGTTCTTCCATTTCCTGATAAGCTTGTAATATTGAAAAATACGAATATGAATGGTAGAAAAACTAAATGGCATGGAACACTGCATGTCCAGAAGAAAGAAGTATTTTGAGACAGCATCACCATTTGAAAACAAAAAATAGCTAACAATCATTTTTATTTATTTTTAATTTTTAAAATTTTTTTGGTACCAGGGATGGAACTTGGGTCCTTGCGCTTGCACAGCAGGCAGTGAAACCACTGAGCTAAATCCCTGGCCCTAATAATCATTTTTAAAATCCACTTAAAAACAAAAAATGAAATAGAAAAAAATTCAGTGTGAGCCGGGTGTGGTGGTACAGGCCTGTCATCCAGCTACTTGGGAGGCTGAGGCAGGAGGATCACAAGTTCGAAGCCAGCCCAGAAAACCTAAATACTCAGCAAGACTGTCACAAGATAAAAAATAAAATGGGCTGAGGATGTAGCTTGGGGGCAGAGCGCTCATTTGTGCACAGAGGAGGCTGCGTCCCTGGGAGCGCTGGGCTTGGGAAGGCACCAGTTCTTCAACCCCACGTTCCAGCCTCGCCCAAGAAGCGGGCTGCACCGAGGTAAGAGTGAGGCCAGATGTCATTTTAACGAAGATTTGTCGCCTGTCCTATTTGAAAGTTTTATTGGAAGCCCCTGGTTTGGGTTATGAGTTTGGTTTTCCGCTTTCTTCTAAGTGCTTCCTGTCTTCTGTGAGAAGAGTCTGGGAGCTGAGCCTGGGGTGAAGCCAATGTCATCTTCTGGGCAGACTGAAAGCGTTATTTTTTTGGGTTTTTTTGGGGTACTGGGGATGGAACTCAGGACCTTGTGCTTGTGAGCCAGGCTCAGTGCCACTGAGCTAAATCCCTGGCCCTAGTTTTGATTTTTTGAGTCAGAGTCTTGCTATGTAGTTCAGGCTGACCTTGAACTCACAGAGATCCTTGAGGCAATCCTCCTGCCTCAGACTCTCCAGTGCTGGGACTACAGGTATGCGCCAACCACACCTGGCAGAAAGTCTTTTGCGGTTCCTGCTCAGCTGGTGGAAGGTGAAAAGAATGAAGTGCCCTGTTGGTGCCTTCTCAGAGGACACAGCTGTAAACTGTGCCCAGCATGGGCCTTGCCAGCTGCATCCTATCTAAGCACCCACTGTGTTGGAGGGAACAAAGCAGGACGAGGGGCTGGTACCTTGACCTTAAGGAGCTAAATAGGCTGGAAAGGTGGAACACACTGTACACCTAAAAATACCATAGCAAGTGCATGTGGTGGTGCAGGCCTGTAATCCCAGCATTCTGGGAGGCCAAGGCAGGAGGATGGCAAGTTTGAGCCCAGCCCGGGGAACTTAAGTGACTTAGCAAGACCCTGTCTCAAAATAAAAAATAAAAAAGGGCCAGGGACGTAACTCAGTATAAAGGGCTTGAGTTCAAGCCTCTGAAAAAAAAAAATTACTGTAGCACCAATACTGTCTTCACTAATTCATTTCCATAATGGACAGTGTTTCTTAGGGGTGGCAGAGATAAACTAAAAGGATAAAAATAGGTAAAAAGGGGGCCAAGGATTTAGCTCAGTGGTTCCGCCATCTGATTCAGAAGTGCAAGGACCCAAGTTCTATCCCCGGTATCCAAAAAAAAAAAAAAGGTAAAGATCTCTTGCAATGTAGATTCTGGAGCCTATATTTATTTGGATGACCAATCAGCAGCCTCAAGGTTTTGCCTATAATACCTACAGATTCTCGTGGTATTACAGGATATGCTGGGCTTCGACCCATGATCTGGGTGAAGGCTACACAGTTCCTTGCAGCTGATCCATCCAACTGTTAGGGAAGCATGGATCCTTGTTGATCACTAAAGACAAGTGTTACAACTTGGATCTAAAGTGTCTCATGTGTAATCCCAGCACTCAGGGGCAGAGGCAGGAGGATTGCATCAAGTTCAAGGCCAGCCTGGACTACAAAGGGAGGCTCTCTCAAAAAAAAAACAAAAAAAAAACAACAAAAAAAAACCCCACAGCTGACTCATATGTGGAAGCTGATTGGTTCATGGTGGGGCTACACCTGCCAGTGGATTCCTCCATTGAATTCAGAGCTAAACTGTTAGGAGGCAGGGCCTGATTGGAGGTGGTCGCTGGGGGCGTGGCCTGGAGGGGTGTGTTCTTGTCTCTGGTTTCTCCCTCCTGTGTTTCCTAGCTGCCTTGAGATGAACAGCTTTCCTCTGCCAGGCCCTTCCACCATCCTGTTTATGCCTTGGAGCTGTCTACCATGGACTCAATCCTCTGAATCACAAGCCAAAATAAACCTCTCCTTCTTTAAGTTGCAGGCATCAGGTATTTTGTCCCAGCAACAAGAAAGTGACTATAAGATGGAAGTATTTTTAGTGCTCAAGGCCTTGTGCTAAGCCCTAGAGAGAAACAGGCCCCAATCCTTGCCTTCAATTCAGATTTGAACACTAATCATCTGTTCCCACTCCATCCTGGCTGGGGAGTTGAACTCAGGGCCTCAAGCATGCTAGGCAAGTGCTTTCCCACTGAGCTATGTCCCTGGGCCCTGCCAACACCAATTTTTACCCTGAAAGTAATTATACAATGCAATATGCTAAAGGCAATAAAATATAATTTTATATAAAGACCTTTGGCAGCATGTTAGGGAATGAATCTTGGCTCCACCATTTACAACCTAAAGGACATTGGACAAATCATCCAATCATTTTCAAGTATGCTTCTTCATCTGCCCATGGAGAATATGAGTGCCTACCTCAGTTCTACACAGTAAAGGCATAGCCAATGATGGTCATTATTCATTATTGTTACAACATTTCAGCTACAAGAGAAAACATCAAGGCCAGATGTGGTGGCACATGCCTGTCATCCCACCACTCTGGGAGGCTGAGGCAGAGGATCCCAAGTTCCAGCCTAGCCTGGGCAACTTAGACACTGTCTCAAAGTAAAGAAAGTGCTGGGGTTGTAACTCAGTGTGAAGGCCCTGGGTTCAATCCCCAGCGCTGCAAAACAAAAAAACGCAACAACACAAAAACAAACAAAACAGGATCAGTTCAACAGAAAAACCTTCTCAGCGTTCATTGAGAATATGAAGTTCCTATTTTTCTGGAATGAGCACTTCGTCCGCCACATCTGGCAGAGGGACAGTTTCTTCCTTTGCAAAAAGGGGCGGCAGGGCACAGCCGTCCTGCAGGACGGTGCAAATCACTCGATAATCAGCATCGAGTACCAAGCACGGCAGGGTGCAGGAGCCCGCGCGAAGGCAGCGCCGCTGGGGCCACTCGGGCGGTCAGGGACCTGGGCCCCGCTCATCTCCGCACGCACCGGGCAGGATGTGCCCACCCTGCCCCAGCACAGCCTCAGAGAGGGTCTCCGACAAACCACACAAACGTCAGTTCCAGAAGCGACCAGCCGGGCCACGCCATCCTCTGCCTCCCCCGTCTGATGCCAGGTCTCCCACGGCAACCACAGCTTCCGCCCGCCGCGCCCAGCCTGACCGGAGCTTTCTACGCAGGCGCGGAGAAGGCCAGGGGGCGTGGTTCCCGCTCCCTCCCGACGTCCTCCGGGGACCAGGGGCGGGGCTTTGCGTGATGGCGTCACGAGCCGGAGCCTCCGGCGGCGGGAAGAGGAGACGTGAGAATGGAGACCCCGAAGAGTGGCGAGAGCGCCGGGGACCGGGGGCCGCAGGACGCTACGCCTGCCCCCAGCAAGGCCTCGAGCAGCGCCGGCCACTACGAGCTGCCGTGGTGAGAGCCCAGGCCACTGCTGAGGATGGGCGCGCCTGGCCGTGAGGCTGGTGGGGGCGGGCCGCGCTCCGGGGCTGGGGACTCTGCCTGGCTCCGGTGGCATCGGGAGGTTGGGGGGGCAGGAGGCGAGGGACGTGGGTCTCCGAGCCCATCAGGGGTCTTGGGGTGGCCGGGGTGAGATTTTCGAGCGGGGTCTCGCGCGGCGCAGCGCTAAGGACTGTGGGACCCCCTACCCGCATTATATATTTCGCTAATCTTGTCATTTCTTTTATTGATTACGTGTTGCAGTACTATTTTGACTCTATTAGGGTCAATAAAATATTACAATTAATTTCATCCATTTTCTTATTACTTTTTAATGTGTCTGCCAGAAATTAAAAATTACTGTAGGGTTTGCTTTTTATTTTAACTGCGCAGCGTTATTCAAAATGGTGCCAGATCCATCAGTAAACAAAGCTAATTCTCTGCTGCTGCAGAGCTAACATTTGATAAAGACGAAGTGAAAAACAGTAAAGCTGCGTGTGGTGACGCTTGCCTGTTCTCCCATCACCCAGGAGGCTGAGGCAGGAGGATTGTGAGTTTCAGGCCAGACTGGAGCACATAGCAAGACCCTGTCTCAAACAGAAAATAGACAAGAACTTGGGGGGTAGCTCAGGGGCAGAGTGCATAAAAACTAAGCTGGGCGGGCTGCATATTTGTGCTTCTGTCTGATGGAGGTGGGGTTCTGGAGAGAAATAAAGAGCCCCAATAGTTGGAGAAGACTGATGAGTCTTTGAGAGTTGAGAGAAGAAGCCCTGGCTGGGCAGCAGGCTTCCTTGTTCAGAGTCCAGGTCTGCTTTCTGCTCCTGATGTTGTCAGCTGCTGAGTCTGTCCCTCTGGGCTTGCACAACCCTTGGTTTAAAAACCCAGGGTGGCGCTGTAGTGGGATGTGCTGTGCTGTCTTGGCAGTTGGGAAGTCATGGAGGACCAGGAGTGCAGCTTGCCACCTGTGCCTTGTGCTTTTGGGAAGAGCTCTCAGCTCCTTTGCTGCTGCCTGGTGCCTGGAGGGGTAGAGAATAAAGGATGAGGAACAAACGTGCTTCATTACCTGGTGCTAGAGGACAGCAGTCTCTGCATCCTGTTTTTTTTGTTCTTTAAAAAAACAAGTATCTTGGGCCAGGGATTTAGCTCAGTGGTTTTGCCGCCTGCTTCGCAAGTGCAAGGACCCGAGTTCGATCCCTGGTACCAAAAAAAACAAAACAAACAATAAAACAGGTATCTGCACGAAGCTCCTTGTGCAGGAGAGCCAGCAGTTACCTGAGCAGGTGCAGGCTGAGGGTGAATCAGGAATCTAACTGAGGGCAGGTTGGGATGTGTCTCCCATGTGAGAGGCCCTGGCTTCCATCCCTAGCACAGCATTAAAAATAAAGTTATCGTAAAGGGGAAAGGAATTTATGATGGTCAGATCATTGCAAATCTACTACCATGCCCCTGCCTGCCCCCGTACCAGGGATTGAACTCAGGACTTCGTGCTTTCGAGGCAGGCAGAGCAGCACTGAGCTAAATCCCCAGGCCTTCTACTACCACTTCTTTGCTGAGTGTAAAAGTGATTTTGTGATAACATGATTGATTGATTGATTGATTTAGAGACAGGGTCTCACTATATAGTCCAGACTGGTCTCAAGCTCATAGTGATCCTCCTGCCTCAGCCTCCCAAGAGCTGGGATCACAGGCGTGCACCACTGCACCCAGCTCCCATTGTGAATTTAAAAGGGAGAATTATAGTGTAACCAGGCTTCTGTCGTGTGATGGGAATGCAGAGCAGGCCTGGGTTCCCATCTTACCAGCCCTCTGTACTCGGCACACACATCTGCAGGTGGCAGGTGAGGAATGAGGGTGTCCCGATGATGGGGCACTGTGTGGGGCAGACCGTGCTGCTGCACAGGGTCACCCGCTCCTGGTGGCTCTGGCCCCTCTGCAGTAGCACAGGTGTCTCTGCTGTGTGGGTGTGAAGCCTGTGATGGACAGTCCTCATGGACTTCACTTTGCCAGTGGCTCTCAGGCACCTCATTAGATTACAAACTTGCGGGCCGGGGGTTTAGCTCAGTGGTTCCACTGCCTGCCCTGAAACTATAAGGACTCAAGTTTGATCCCTGCTACCAAAAAAAAAAAAGGTGGAATAAATTACAAACTTGCACCTCTGGCATAGATTCACTGATGTGTGTGATCTGGCAAAGCTCCTAGCCCTGCCCTCTAGTGCCTTTACGTATTTTTCTGCAGTACTGAAGATGGAACATGGGGAGTGTGGAACTGGATCCTTAGACCTTTTTAAAAAGTTTATTTTGAGATAGGATCCCACTGAGTTGTCTGGGCTGGCCTCGAACTTATAATCCTCTTACCTCAGCCTCCTGAGTTACTGGGATTACAGGCTTGTGCCACTGTGCCTGGCTGACCTTTAGGGTAGTGTGAAGTTAACCAAGTCAATATTTTTTTTAAATTAAATTTTACTGTATCCCATCCCCCCCCCCAACTCCCTCCCTTAAATCAATATTCTTATGCATTTTCTTAAAAACAGGGTTGAAAAATACAGGCCAATAAAACTGAATGAAATTGTCGGAAATGAAGACACTGTGAGCAGGCTGGAGGTGAGTGACTTTATTTACTTGCTGTAGTACTGGAGATTGAACCCAAGGCTTTCGCACTGAGTCACATTCTCAGGTTTTTAAAATTTTTTTGTTTTGGGCTGGGGATTTAGCTCAGTGGTTTTGCTGCCTGCTGCGCAAGCGCAAAGACCTAAGTTCGATCCCTGGTACCAAAAAATAAATAAATAAATTTTTAAATTTTGAGACAGGGTCTTGGCAAGTTGCTAATTTGCCCAGGTTGGGCTCAAACTTACAATCTTCCTGCCTCAGCTTCCCAGGAGGCTGGGATTGCAGGTGTGCTTGGCTACTGGGGGATCTTAGTACAGATTCTATCCAGTAGTTTTGCTATGGGGCCAGAGAAGCTGCATTTCTTACAGGCTTTCGTAGTGCAGCTGATGCTGCTGGTCCTTGGGGTCTGTTCCTCTGAATAACAGGCTGTGGGGTCCGTGGATTTGGGTATCATAAGAAATGGGCAGGATCCAGCTGGGTGTGGTGGCACGAACCTGTTATCCCAACTAGTTGGGATGCTGAGGCCAGATTATAAGTTTGAGGCCAGCCTGGGCAGCTTAGCAAAACCTTCTCGAAATAAAAAAGGAAAAAGGGCAGGGAATGTAGCCCATGGTGGAGCACTTGTGTGGCAGGCCCCATGCGCTGGGTTCCATCCCCAGCACCTCCCCCTCCAAATGCAAAGTTTGGGCTTCACAGTAAGAGCAGAAGCCAGGCGGATACCTTAGAGACACAGACTGAGTGGGGCCACATCGGAGGCCAGGAGACCAGCTCCTGGCCATCCAGCTAGGCTAGGAAAGTGGGGTGGGGCTAGGAGAAAGAAGACTCGGGAGGCCGAGCAGAATTGCAGCTCAGCCTGTGTGATTGAAGGGGTGAGGGTGGAGCCGGGCCAGAGGGTGCAGAGCCCTGTGGTTCCTGGCGTGGGCAGTCGGGGCACAGGTGTGTGTAACATGTGGATGAAAACTATGGGCGGCTCAGGTTTGCACTGAGAGCGTGGAGTTCAGTGTTTCGTGTGGTGAGTCACGTGCCAGCCCTCAAAAGAGGACCCGTAGGTCCGTGTGGCTCCTGTTCAGGCTTGTGTGCCGCCACAGTGAGCTACTGGGCCCTGCAGATTAGCCAGGTTTGGATTTTTCTTTTTGTGGCACCGGGATTGAACCCAGAGCTTTTGCACTGAGCTACAGCCCCAGCCTGTGCTTTATTTTGAGATAGCGTCTTGATAAGCTGCCTAGGCTGGGTTTGAACTTGGTGATTCTCCTTCCTCATCCTCCCAAGTATCTTGGATTATAGACATGCACTACCAAGCCCCGCTCTAACCAGGTTTTTACTTGTTTGTTTGTTTATTTATTTATTTCATTTTTTGGTACTGGGGTTGAACTCCAGACCTTGCACTTGCAAGGCAGACGGCACCACTGAGCTAAATCCCTGGCCCTTATTTATTTTTTTGAGACAGGGACCTGCTTAATTGCTCAGGTTGGTCTCAAACTTGTGATCCTTTTCTTTCTTTTTCTTTGGAGACAAAATTTCACTATGTAGCCCAAACTGGCCTAGAACTTGTGGTGATCCTCCTGCCTCAGCCTCCTGAGTCGTGGGATTACAGGTGTGCACCACCACCCCAGCTTGATCAGTTTTAACGATGTCTTTCCCTCAGGTCTTTTCGAGGGAAGGGAATGTGCCCAATATCATCATCGCTGTGAGTATGGGGCCCTGGGCGCCTCGGCATCTCCTTTCCCCACCTGGCATGGTGTTTCTTCCTCCAGTCCTGTGCTTCCCATCCGCTCAGCGGGGAGGCCGGGCACACTTGCTGTGCTGATGGGGCTGTGGGGGGCGGCAGCTGCACCCAGGTCCTCCTGGTGGTGCAGGTGCTCACTGGAACCTGTTCCCAGGGCCCCCCGGGCACCGGCAAGACCACCAGCATCCTCTGCCTGGCGAGAGCCCTGCTGGGTCCTGCACTGAAGGATGCGGTTCTGGAGCTCAATGCGTCCAATGACAGGTGCGTCCGGGGAGGGCCCAGAGCCGGCAGGGGGAGTGCTTGCCAGTTTCCCTTCCTTTTGATGGAAGAATGTAAGGATTATTTTGAATTGTGGTGGAAAGCCAGGCCTAGTGGTGTGTGCCAGAAGTCTGGGAGGCTGAGGCAGGGAGATCATGCGTTCTAGCCCAACTTGGGTAATTTAGTGAGACCCTGACTCAAAATAAAGAATAATAACAGGACTAGGGCTGAAACTCAGTGTGAAGACTCTGAGTTGAATCCTCAGGACGGGAAAAAAAAGTGGTACAATACATGTAATATAAAAAAAGTTCCATCTTGAACTTAGGATCCTCCTGCCTCAGCCTCCCACAGTGCAGGGGCTGAAGGTGCACAGAAGTTCCAGCCCAACCTGGGCAACTTAGGGACTTTGAGCAACCCTGCCTCAAAGTGAAAAAGCCTGGGGGTGTCGCGCAGGGTGGGGGCCTGGGTTCAGTCTCCCCTAGACTCAATTTCCCTCTGAAGGTGACAGTCAGGTTCCGGCTTGTTTCAGAGGCATCGATGTTGTGCGGAATAAAATCAAAATGTTTGCGCAGCAGAAAGTGACACTGCCCCGGGGCCGGCACAAGATCATCATCCTGGACGAGGCTGACAGGTGGGTACCTGCCCTCCCATGGTGCCCGACTGCTGTGTCTGTCTCTCGCTGGGTTTAGTCGGAATAAGTGCCCTGTGGCAGTGCTGCTTAACACATCTCCACAAAGCAATTACAGATGATTCCAATGCCAGATTACGGCAGCAACTCACGTTCTCTAAAGAAAAGAAAATGATTTAGAAAACACTAATATCTTGCTTTACTTCTTCTCTTTTTCTTTACTATTTATTTTCACATAGACAAAATCATAATATATTTGATTCCGTACTTTTATATTGTGGATTTTGGGTTTTCCTTTTTTTTTTTTGTATTGGGATCGAACTCGGGACCACGCGCTTTCGAGGCAGGTGCCGGAACCACGGAACGAAATCCCTGGCCCTTGGAATCGTGTTTTGTGGATCCTCCTGGGGGCGGTTTGCCCAAGCAGCCTCCCAGAGGGTGGCTGTGGGTCTCCGCAGCCCTGGTGTGGACCTCGTCCTGTGTCACTGTGGGAGAGCTGTCCCTGGGCTGGGGTCCCGGCCACTCAGCACCTCTCCTGCGCTTTCTCCCCAGTATGACGGATGGTGCCCAGCAGGCCCTGCGCAGGACCATGGAGATCTACTCCAAGACCACCCGCTTTGCGCTGGCATGCAACGCCTCAGACAAAATCATAGGTGAGCAGAGCTGAGCGAGCCCTCCCGGTGCCCACCTGGCACCTTGGCAGCAGAGGGCGGGGTCTGACTGCCACCATACGCCAAGTCTGCATAGGCAACTTTTTACATTTTAGTTGACAAAATGTATGTATATTTATCATGTACAACATGACATTTTTTTTTTTCTTTTTGGTGTCAGGATCGAATTCGGGTCCTTGCGCTGTTGAAGCAGGCAGCGGAACCACTGAGCTAAATCCCTGGCCCAACATTTTGAAATATAATTAACTTAATTTTTTTTCAATACCAGGGCCTTTGCCCTGAGCTACATCTCCAATCCTTTTTGTTTTATTTTGAGACAGGGTC